TGCAAGAAAAAAAAAACATGTTGATGTTTACAGTCGAACTTTAGATGATGGAAGTTTTTCATGCCTGTTTGTCTTTTTCCTTTCCGCTCTTTATTTTTCCCTCTGTCTGTCTGTCTGTCTGTCTGTCTGTCTATTTGTCTGTGTGTCTGTCCGTCTATCCGTCTATTTGTCTGTGTCTCTGTCCGTCTGTCTGTTTATTTGTCTGTGTCTCTGTCCGTCTGTCTGTCTATTTGTCTGTGTGTCTGTCCGCCTGTCTTTCTATTTGTCTTTGTGTCTGTCCGTCTGTCTGTGTGTCTGTGTCTCTGTCCGTCTGTCTGTCTATTTGTCTGTGTTTCTGTCCGTCTGTCTGTCTATTTGTCTGTGTGTCTGTGTGTCTGTCTGTCTCCATATTCCTTCCCCATCTCTCCCTCCCTCCTTCCCTCCCATCTATCCATCTCTAAATCCCTCATCCAGCTCCTCGATCCCAATTCCTCTCCCTTTCCTTCCTTCTTCCATCCCTTTAATCTTCCTCCCTCTCTCCTTCTCTCTATCTCCCTCATTCTCTCTTCCTTACCTTCTTCTTTCCCAGACTCTTCTCTCTTCATTTTCTCCCTTCTTCCCTCCTTCTAAAACTTTTTTATTTCCCTCATTCGCTCCTCTCTTACTCCTTTCTTTCCTAGATTCTCTCTCATTCTCATCCTTCTTCCTCTCTCCTTCCCTTCTCCTTCCCCAATTCTACATCTCACTCCCCCTTCCTTTACTCCCTCATTCCTCCCCCTCCCTTCTTCCCTCCTTTCTCCCCCCAAAAGCTCTTCATCTCCCTCCCTCTCCCTCCTTTCTTCCCCCAAAACTCTCCATCTCCCCTTCTCCTTCCTCCCTCCTTTCTTTCAAAAATCCCTATCTCCCTCTCCCTCTCCCCCCCTCTCCTTCCCTCCTTCTTCCCCCAAAACTCTCCATCTCCCTCCCTCTCTCCCCCCTCTCCTTCCTCCCTCCTTTCTTTCAAAAATTACTCTATCTCCGTCCCCCTCTCTTTCCCTCCTTCTTCCCCCAAAACTCTCTCCCTCTCCCTCCTGCCTCCTACCCTCTTTTCTCACGCCAGAACTCTCCAATTCCCTCCCCCTCTCCTTCCTCCCCAACTCTCCATCTCCCTCATTCTCTCCTTCCTTCCTCTCTCCTTCTTCCTTCCCTCCTTTCTCCCCCCCCCCCGAAAAAAAACCTCTCCATCTCCCTCATTCTCTCCTTCCTTCCTCTCTCCTCCCTCCTTTCCTCCTTCCTCCCCCCAAAAAACCCTCCATCTCCCTCATTCTCTCCTCCCTCCCTCCCTTCTCAATCTTTTCCTCTCTTTTTCTTTTTCTCTCCCCCCTAAAAAACTCTCCATCTCCCTCATTCTCTCCTCCCTTCCTCCCTTCCCAATCTCTCCCTCCTTTCTTCCCCCCAAAAACAAAACTCTCCATCTCCCTCATTCTCTCTTCCCTTCCTCTCTCCTCCTTCCTTCCCTCCTTCCTCCCCCCAAAAAACCCTCCATCTCCCTCATTCTCTCCTCCCTTCCTCCTCCCTTCTCAATCTTTCCCTCTCTTTTTCTTTTTCTCTCCCCCCTCTTTCCCTTTTTTTGTGAAGTATAGCAACGCTTTAGATGACGTGCTGTCACTTTCTCTTTTCCGTAATGGGCGAAGTTCGGGCTCGGGTAGGGGGGGGGGGGGGGGGCAGGGAGCGGAAATTTTGGGTGGGGGAAGGAGAGGGGGTGGGGAGGGGAAGGGGGAGAAATTTTGGGTGGCGGAAGGAGAGGGGAGTGGGAGGGGGAAGGGGAGGGGAGGGGGGATAAATTTTGGGTGGGGGAAGAGGTAGGGGAGGGGAGGGGGCAGGGATTTTTGGTGGGGGTAGGGGAGGGGGAGGGGGCAAGGAGCGGAAATTTTGGGTGGGGAAGGGAGGGGAAGGGGTGGGGGAGGGGAGGGGGGGGGAAATTTTGGGTGGGGGAAGGGGTGGGGAAGGAGTGGGGAGGGGGCAGGGAGCGGAAATTTTAGGTAGGGGAACGGGAGGGGGGGGGAAGGGGAGGGGGGGAGGAGGCAGGGAGCAGAAATTTTGGGTGGGGGAAGAGAGAGAGAGAGAGGAAGAGAAAGAAAAAAGAATAAGATATATAGAATCAGAGAGTGAACGAGCAAGAGAGAGAAAGAAAGAGAAAAAGAGAGAGAGAGAGAGAGAGAGAGAGAGAGAGAGAGAGAAAGAAAGAAAGAAAGAAAAAAAAAAGAGAGAGAGCGGTAAAAAAAAAAACACACTTACCCCCCCCCCCCCCAAAAAAAAAAAGGCGACAAAACTAAACATAAAACACCCAAGCACACATACAAGCCATAAGAACAAGCAGCAACGAAGGATATAAATAGGAAGAACTGAAGAACGAATATAGTTTTGTCCCCTTATCGCTGTCGGCCAGACCTGGGCAATGGGGCGCCCGCTGTGGGGTTGCCGGGGGGGGGGGGAGGCGGAGGAGGGGGGAGGAAAGGGGGTTAAAGGATAAGAAAGATAA